GGGTTGTGGTGCAGGGGAGCAAGCCCCCCTACACCGCGCGCAAGTGCGCCCCCGCCATTTGCGGGTGCCAGCGGTGAGATATGCAAAAGAGGGAAAATGCAAACAACTGGATCGAGGGGGTTCGCCCCCCGGTTCCATCAAAATGTCCGTCCAGCTTGCACGGGGGCTCAGCCCCGTTGGGAAATGCAACCAAAGTCTGTGGTGGGGCGACAGCCCCTTTGGAGCGTATGGAAAAAAACATCTGGGAGCCCGTGCGGGGCTGTGGATCGAATCGGGGTTGGCTCAGCGGCCCGTCAGTAAAATACAGTTGAGCGTAGGCTCAGCGGTCTGGAGTGACCAAAGTATGGAGAGAAAGGGGTTAAAAGCCCCCCTATCTAGCCTGGATCAAGTGGAAGGAAGCCCTTGTTCCTAAGTCACAAGGGTAAGAGGTCCCCTAGGGCAGGAGGTCAGGGATCCCGCTACAAAGTGGACCAAAAGGAGAAAAAGGTCTGGACGAATTAACTAAAGGGAAAAAAAAACAAGCCCGGTCCTAGGGTTCCCCCTTCACTCAGCGCCGCGGTCTTTTTACCGGCCATCACTTCGTCTCAAACTCGGCGCTGTTGGTCTTGGGGCCATTCCCCGACGCGACGCTTGCATCTTCTGTGAGCTCTGTACTTCTGCTTCGACTCGTCACGGTACCGCTTCCAAACCATGAGGTCCGTCTCAGCAGCATGCAGTCGACTTAGCCTTTCATTTGCGAAGAGCTGCTGGAGTCGCTGTGTCTGTCGCTGCGTAAGGCCGGAAGGGGCCCCTGAGGGTTCAGCTGGCCGCATGGAGGCGAGGTCGCCCTCGGATTGCTCGGTGGTGTCCCACGTGTAGTCCTCCTCGTCCTGGTAGTCGAAGCCGAAGTCGAAGTCTTCCCCGGGCTCGTCTTTGGGTTGGGCAACGGTTACGGCGGGTGCCATCCGGGGTTCCCCCGCTGTTTGGTCGACTTCCTCAGGCTCGCTTTTGGCTTGCTCGACGTTCTCGGGCTCGTGCTTGGCTTGATCTTGATGCCAGGGTGGCTCATGCAGGCGGAAACTCTCCCCGGCAGCAAAATTCGCATCGTCAAAGACATCCTCACCGGGGTGCAGCCTTGACTGGGCCGCTTCACCTGCCACATCAGCCGTAGACAGGTTTCCCGGCATGTTTTCCTGGTCGTGCTCGTTGTTGTCAAAGAACTGGGTCGTCACGTGGGTGTAGTCGGCCACTGGAGGAGCTACCTCCGAAGCATTGGCCCTTGTATGTAGCAAGGCACGCCTGGCTAAAGCATCCTTGGTCTCTGCCGGCAGTTCATCGTAAGGCACTGCCCGGGCTGCCCCGGCCACGATTGGGGAGGTTCCCCTGAAGAAGGTCAAAGGCGTAGTCGAAGTAGGAGAGGAAATAGTACGCGTCACTCCCTCAGTTTTTCCCGCAGTCCCATCACGGCCGTCTAGGAAGGCATCTTCCTGTGGTGCGAGAGGTTGTCCAAGTCGTCCGGGTCGTCCGGGTAGAGCGGCTGGTACATGTTCTCCCGGTTGAGGGGAAAGGGTGTTGGTCCCCTGTGCTGTCTCTGCTTCCCCCAGTATGTCGAGGAGGGGTTCCAAGAGCGGGTCGTCCGTCGCCAGCGTTGAGACGATGTTTGT